TTTAATTTATGAGAATTGAACATTATTAATCAAATTGTGTAGAATTATTGAGAAACTGTTAGATTCATTGAATTTTATCTCTGTCTGAATATACAAATTAAATTTAAAATTAAACTATAGCAAAAATGACTACCTACTATAACTATATGCATTAATTAAAATACATTCAGTTCAGCATTTGAAAATATAATATTTTATTATTTTAACTTATGACATACTTAAATTGATATAAAGACATATTATAACAATATTAATAAATGTTTCTGATTTAATTGGTATTAAATAAAAATTAATTTGATGGTAGTCTAAGGTATGGTATATTTTAACAGCTAAAAATGCTGTGTCTCAAACATGTAGGAAAATCATTTAACAATAATAAATAAACAAATAAACATATTATCTTGGGTGGACTAATGTGGAAAAGTAAACAATCTTCTGCTCAAAAAATAAGATATTATAAAGCATATCAACTGAAATTTAACATTTTAAATCAACATAACAATTTGAAATGTAATAATTGAACTGGATCAAATGAAAACACAATAATTATTAAAGGCATTTGCAGCATATACTGCTTGTTTTTAAGCAGCAGCTTGAACAAATTATTTGTAAAAAAAAATGGAACATGAAAATAATGATAGACCTAAAGGAAAATTATTTCTTAAACACATAAGAACAAGTTTTAATGATCAACGTAAAAAAAAACGCTTGAAAGAGGTCACGCAACACTGAGGCCAATTCCACGAATRGGCAACCCCCTTCTCGCGTACTTCATTCATCATTGTCTACATCCATAATTATAGTTGGACTTAGCCATAATAAGAAGAGGTACCAATAAAATTAATTACTGAGGATCAATCCTAACTGATATATTAGAATAGTAGGTTTAACCTTAATATGTTTATTCCACACACAAGTACCTCTATAAAATTTATATGTTTTGTAAGTTTAGTCAGTTAAGGTGTAATGTTTAGTAGTTTAGTTTATATATCTTTAAGAATTTAATAATAATTATCTATACATTAAAACATTTTGTTGCATTATTTCATAATTTTTTAGTGAGATCAAATACTTRTTACCTTATTCCAGATAGAATTTATAATTAAATAAAACTAAAATAATAGGGCATAATGTCCTGGACATAGTAACAATATTATACCAAATCTAAATTATATAAAACCGCATATTGATACAACTATAATGTGAAYTAAATTACACACTAATGGACGGTAAAAGCTCATGAAGAAGAAGAAAAATATTATAATTAGTATACTTCAATTATGAAGAATAGGTAACTAATTAAGCACCTATACAACATGTCATAGAAATTTGGTACAATTTTATGTAACAATCAATAATTGTTTGTTTTTGTCATTACAACAATTTGAACACATAATAGCTTCTATAAAATGTCTTACATATTTTATTTAAAAACAATTGTTCAGATATGACCTAACACTTTAAGGTGTATATATTGGAGTAGTAAGAGCTTTCCTAGTCATTGGTTCACCACAAAGAACAAAATAAAGGTGTACACACACATGTTTCACACTTGATACACGGAAAATGAAAATGATATACATTCTGCAATAATTATTTGAGGAAGACAATGGATAATATTCATACATTTATAACATAATGATTCAAAATACCATATTATATTCGGTGAATTACAGTATAATATACTATTTAATATTTATAGTAAAGTATAAGAATCAAAAACAACAATATAAATTATTATTGTTTTTCACTTCCARACTTAAATTTTAAGTATTACAATTTTACAAATAAATCATGTTACATAACAATTAATAATTTTGCAAATAAATCATGTTACATAACAAATTAATAATTATGTATAATAAATTGTTGACATACAATGTGTATAAGTATAATATTAATATATTTTACAGACAAAACTTTACAGTGTATGAATGCACATAATCTATGATCAAGTACACGAGTACAAAGTTATAGCTATTATAACCAGATTATGAATGGATTTATAATCGTAATGGATTCTATAATAAACTTAATTGACACAATTCAACAATACATAATATCATATATATGTGTGTTTCTTTTACTACTACTTTTTTTCAATAGTATTAATTGGAATTTTTGAAAAAAAAAAACAATAGGATGTATTTTAATGTAGAACACCTCACTTGGATTTTAAGATTGAAAAAAATATATGTTTATCTGATGACAAAATTAAATGCTACAATACAATATTGTTGTTAAGCCTTAAATGCGTAATTATATTATTCTGCCTGTTTAGYAATCAAAATTAAGAAAGAAAGCTGAAGCAGTTGTGATGGACACTAATGATAAATGCACGAGATTCAAAAATAATAAATTGGTTGGTTGGATAATTATCATAAATGAGATTTAATTCTCATTTATTATAGACGCGTTAGAACTGAAGCAACGTTGACGTTGGTATTCTACACTTAGTGGTTTCTTGTCGCATATCCATCAGTCTTTATGATAAATCATTATATGAAATCTAAATTTATTTGACTAGATGTATAAAATTATAAACAACTAAACCTATTTTAATCTAACATGTTTTATTTAAATTACATCACTAAAACGTGTATAGGACATTCAAAATACATAACATAATAACACCTTAAAGAGCTTCGGGGTTTTTTGTTTTGTTTTGTTTACACCTGAGTGTTTTGAATAATACTTTGAATGGACTATAGAATAATGAACTGTTGTATAATATAATAATAAAATAAAAAATAGACACATATTAGCTTTGTAAATACACTGCTATGTTATTATAGAACTTAAAAAACTACTAGTAGATAATATAAAAGGCAAAAGAAAAAACAATATTTAGTTGATATGTCTACAAGTTAAAATATATATATTTATATAAACTAGACTAAGGGATCAAAAAGGGATATAGTTAAAAAGTAAAATTAAATAATCACAATAATGGTGCGTCATCATCATAATCGTTAGGTTTGTTTATCTAATTTTTTTTAGATCCAAAACACACCATAAATATTTTAACAGCCGAATAGTATAAGTGTACATAATAACATAATATTACAATCATAATAATGTTATTGAATAGCTAAAAATACATTAGTTTTTTAAACAAATCGGAAGGGGAAAATACGCAATGTACATATTGTATATTGTAGTGATCTAAAAACAAATTTCCCACCCTGTTCAAGTTAAATTTACTCTTGAGATAATGATAAATCGAAGAAAAAAAAAA